AATTGTACAATTATTGTAGGAGCTAGAGTCTTATAAGGAGGACTACAGTAAAATCTAACAGCATAAATGTTTCTTTATGTTCTGTATTTCTCAACAAGTAATTTACCATTCCTGCACAGTTCTCTCGACATGGTTTCAGAGCAGGATCACGATTAGTTTTTTTTTAGGGCCCACCAAAACTATCCGCTCGAACCTGCCCGGAGCGCCCTTGCGCTGCCTACCCTAGCGCGCTACCTGCTGCACGCGCGTTTCCTTCCCGCTAGCGCGCTGCCTGTCGTCCGCGCGCGCTTTCTTGCCCACGCACGCGCTGTCTGCCCGCGAGCGCTGCCTGCGCGCACGCACTGCCTGCCCGCGCTGCTACCCGCGCGAGCCCCCTGCCTGCGCGCGTGCTGCCTGCCCGCGAGCGCCCCTACCCGCACGCGGTGCTGCTGCTGCTGCATATGCTGCTGCTGCTGCGCAGCTGCTGCCAACCGCGCTGCTGCGCCTGAGCTGCTGCTGCTGCACGCGCTGCTGCGCTGTGCCCTGCCGAGCCGCACCGCGCCGCCCTGCCTGAGCCGCGCCGCCCTGCCCGCGCCGCGCCGCCCTGCCCGCTCCGCGCCGCCCTGCCCGAGCCGCGCTGCCCTGCCCCTACCGAGCCGCACTGCCCTTCTGCTGCTGCTGCTACTGCTGCTGCTGGCACTACTGCTGCTGCTACCGCTGCTGCTACTGCTGCTGCTGCTGCTGGCACTACTGCTGCTACTACTGCTGCTACTATGGCCACCATTTCGGTTCTTATCTTTGATGCGGAGGGTCGCCCGATTAGCTTTGACGTTTGGCTCGACGATCTCCAGCTGTTCTTGCAGAGCGAGGCTAGGGATGGAGTTTCATTGATAGAACATACGTCCGAATCCCTCCTCGACCCACCTGCTACAGCCGACCGCTCAAATCAGTCGAAGTGGCTCACGCGTGACGCTATTGCCCGCCTTGCTGTCCGCAATCACCTCCCGCTAGCTGAGAGAGCCCATTTTGGCCAGCAGAAGACGGCCAAAGACCTCTATGACGCAGTTGTTGCTCGTTACTCCTCCCCAGCTACTTCTGCCCTAGGCCGCCTCATTCTGCCGTACCTCTTTCCTGAGCTCGCAGATTTCCGCAATGTTGCTGATCTCATGACCCACCTTCGCTCTAGTGAGACTCGCTACAGCGCCGCTCTCAAGCCGACCTTCCTCAAAGAGAACCCCCCCTCCCCCCCCCCCCCCCCCCCCCCCCCCCATCGCTTTATATCACCCAGTACTTCCTTGTCACCCACCTCCCGGACTCCCTCCGCACAGTTAGGGACCACTTTCTCGCCCTTGACCCCACTGAGTTCACGCTTTCCTCGCTGGAGAAGTACCCTCTCGAGGCTGAGACCAGTACTGTAGCTGTCGCTGCCTCTCGTGGCACTCCCCGCTCCCCCTTCTTTGACGGGGGTGCTCCCTCCCCTCTCATACCCTCAGTTGCCACTGCTGCTGCTGTCGACCTCCTTGGTGCTGAGGAAGTCGGCGCTGCGTCTGCTCCTAGTGAGAGGCGCCGCAGCGGCAAGGGCAAGGGGGGTAAGGGAGGTGGGGGTGGCGCTAGCGGTGGTGGTAGCGGGGGTAGTGGTGGCGGGGGTGTAGGCGGTGAAGGTGGCACCGGAGGTGGAGGGGGTGGAGGTGGCGGGGGTGGTGGAGGTCGCCAAGGTGGTGGAGGCGGCAGGGGTGGTGGAGGCAGGCGGGGTGGAGCTGGCAGGGGTGGAGGCAGTGGGGGCTCAGCACGTGGCGGCGGAGGCTATGGGAGTGGACCGCCGCTGCCACGCCTCTCGGACACACCCACCCCTCAGCAGCTTCGTGAGTGGGTTGTCTAGCGTGGTTCCCTTGGGGGATCTGGTCACTGCTCGTATGTCAGGCGCACGGGGCTCAAGAAGGGTCAGAACTGCGGGAACCCTGGGCACACTGAGTATTGCTGCTTCGGTCGTCTTGAGGATGCCTGGGTGACTGAGTACGGTGATGAGCAGGAGGTCCCCAACTGGCTGGGATTGATAGCGAAGGGAGTAGATGTGTTTGCTCTTGACTTTGCTGCTATCGACAAGGGACTCTATGCTATGTATGTTGATGTTATTAGTGCTGAGGGTGCCTGTTACTCGTGTGTGCCTTGCACTACTGGTGAGTCTGCTGCCGCTCTAGGTGCTAGTGAGTCTGCTGCTAGTGAGTCTGCTGCCTCAGCTGAGGCCTTGCACACTTTCACACTTGACTCTGGTGCGTCTCGTTGCTTCTTTCGTGATTGCACCACAGTCACACCGCTTGCTGCACCAGTCCCGGTCTCACTGGCTGACCCCTCTGGGGGCCCCGTCGTCGCACGAGCCTCCACTGTCCTCCTGTGTCCGGCAGTCCGCTCCGGCTCTCTTTCAGGTCTCCACCTCCCCTCGTTCTCGACAAACTTGGTGAGCAACGCAGTCCTTCAGGATGTATGGGTTGATACCTTTACTCCTGGAGGGCAGCGTGTGGCAATCTGTACGTGCTCCCGGACTGGCCGTCACCTTGCTACGTTCACTCGGCAGCCTGGGTCCAGTCTGTACACCTTGACCACTGCGTCTGCACAGGTGGCTGCGTCAGTTCTCTCGACATTATACTATCAAACTACTGAATTGTATAAGTCAAGTTACTTTGTCCAACATTCCCCTTCAATTCTGGAGTTCGATGTTGTCAGTGTTGTTGGTGATGTGACCGAGTCCAGTCAGCATCATGCAGTACTGTAATTTCGGACGTGGCAGGCGTTTGGTCAAGTAGTCCACAGCCATTTCGCTCGTGGGGCAGTAATCGAGCTGTAACTTCCCTTGCTCAATTTCGTCCTTTACGAGAAAAGTAGCGAAGTGAAATGTGTTTGGTTCAATTCGCGAACCCGGATTTGTTTGCGATGCGAATTGCAGACTGGCTGTCGCAGAAGAGCTGAAACTGTGACAGGTCGAGTAACTTTTCTTCGCTAAGCAATTCGCGAAGGTAAAGTCCTTCCTTCGTGGCAGTGCATGCAGCGATGAATTATGCCTCAGCTGATGAAAGTGCAATCGGCTCCTGCTTGGATGACTGCCAGAAGATTGTTCCCACGGGCTCAAGGCGAAAGTTATAACCTGTACGTGAGCGCCTGTTTGTAGTATCACCCGCGTGATCTGCATCTACGTAGCTGAGTAGATCTAGCTGCAACTTCGGCGACTTATGATGCGTTAGTCCAATAGTAGGTGTAGATACGAAGTACGAAACAGCTGCTTCTAGCTCCCGTAGGTTCTCCCCTTCAGGTCGCTTAAGATATTGAGCGAGCTGGCTAGCCAAGTAAGCTAATTCCGGACGGCACGTCACAGCTGCGAAGAGTAGGCTACCCAGAAGTTGCTGATAGCGTGTCACACCCGCAGAGTTGAGAGGCTCGGATTCAGCTACCGGAGTAGAAGGGAATGGAGTCTTAGATGTAGTTATCGGTAGAGGAAACCGCTTCAGCAGCTTCTCGGCGTATTTCTCGGCGGAGAGATGAATAGCAGTGGGAGTCTTGGTGATATTGAACCCGAGATACTGAGTGACGTCGGTGGAGATAGTAACCGTGAGATCACTGTTCAGCTCTTCTTCAAAGTAAGAAATAATGTCGGGCGAGCTGCCGATGTAAAGCAAGTCGTCGACGTAGACGATCGAGACGGTACATGCCGTGGTCATGAGGCAGTTGACGAAAGCCGATGCCGATGAGGCGTTCGTGTAGATGCTGCTGCGCCTATTTTATCCCGTAGAAAGATTTGTTGAGGCGACAGACCTTGGAGGGTCCGTAACGTAACCGTGCGGTTGCTCGACGAGAATGAGTGCGTCGACGAGAGCATAAAGAAACGCCGTAGAGACATCGATTTGGCGAAGCGTAAGACCCAGTGCTGCTGCAAAGGCGAGTAGAATTTGGAGTGAAGTGTGGCGACTGACGGGAGCAAATGTCGCGCCGTAGTCCACGCCTTGTTTCTTATCAAACCCGCGAACAACCCAACGAGCCTTGAAGCGCTCAATCGTGCCGTCAGCGTTAGTCTTAATGCGGAAAACCCACTTCCCCGAAAGAATGTTCTTGCCAGGAACCGTCGAGATAGGGACTAAATCCCATGTATTGTTATCGTGTAGTGCCTTCAGCTCCTTGTCCATGGCTTCGCGCCATTTTTCCCTGTGAGGTCCGTTAAGTGCTTGAGCCAAGGTGTTCGGTTCGGTAGGAAGAGGTGGTTGAACTGCTACGGCGATCCCTAGTATCTGTAACCCAGTCTGTCGATAACGAGTCCGCTGCTCAGTCTCGTTAGTAGCAGCTTCGTCACCAGCTTTAGGATCGAAGTTGAAACTAGGGCTGTCACCGCATATGCACCTAATGCATATGCAATAACAGAAGGATGATGGTGTAAGGGGGGCTTGTAGTGGCTGTTATGGGAACATTAGCTAGTTATAAGAGTATTAGTTAGGAATCAGTTGTAGGTGTAGAACGTAGGAAAGTTACTGTTAGGGAGGGGTGTAGAAAGGGGGAAATTGGATGGGAGCGGTTGGGATTGCGAGGGAAAAGGCACCGAAGGGCGAAATAGGAAGCCAAGCAGTCCCAACCCCGAGCCGCACTTTTGGGAATGTGCAAGCTTGGGGTTGGGTAAGGGCAGTCACAGCCAACCCCTCGATGCTTTCGTGCTGTTATTCTCTCATATTAGTGGAAAGCTGTTACCTCTGATCTAGCATCCGGTGGCACGCCACTAGGGGAGGACCTACGGGGTGAGGGAGGAAACTCGTTCATAACAGCACGAAAGCCCATCGAGCGGTTCGAGCAAATAGCATGGAATGGACTGCCACGAGCTGCGCTGGCAGCGGACAGACTCGCGACGGGAAATCTTGCCGTCGCGGAGGATGCGCTCACGGGAGCATGGGAGATCACTTGCGCGTTCGCCACGGAGGGCGGCGTACGGCGCGGATTTGGTGACGCCCGTCGGTGGGCGAGCTGAAGGTGTCAGGTCGGAGCCCAGGATGGGCAGTGACCCGCGGATTCTGGCAGGAGGCCAGCGCGGAACGGGTGTAAGGCGTCACGACGGTGTGGACGGGGTAGATTCGTCCAATTCGGCAAGTGGAGCAGACGGCGCGGAAGAAGCAGACGGCGCGGAAGAAGCAGCCGGCGCGGAAGAAGCAGACGGCGCGGAAGAAGCGGACGGCGCGGAAGGAGCAGACGGCGCGGGAGAAGCAGACGGCGCGGAAGAAGCAGACGGCGCAGAAGAAGCAGACGGCGCGGAAGAAGCAGACGGCGCCATCCCGATGGCGCGGGATGGTGAGAGGGAGGAAGTGGCGGAAGAAGGGCGCGACGGAGAGAGCAAGGAGGCGGGAGGAAATTGCTCGCCGGTAAGGATGCGCGGAGGCGGCGCGAAGCATCACGGGAACATGACGACAGGTTGTTCGCCGGAAGACATGCGCAGGGGAAGCGTGAGGCGCTGCGGGAGCACGGATGCAAACGGATTGGCAGACGAAGGGCGTGAGGAGGGCGCGAGGCACCGCGGGGGCGCGAATGCAGACGGATTGGTAGACGAAGGGCGCGGGGGCGCGGATGCAGATGGTACGGTGGACGAAATAGGTGGAAACAGCGTGAGGCACTGCGGAGGCAAGGATGCAGGTCGCTCGGCAGACGAAATGCGAGGTGGCAGCGCAAGGCGCCGCGGGAGAGCGGATGCAGACAGCTCGCCAGAACGGATGCGCGGGAGTGGCGGGAGGCGCCAAGGGAACATGGCGGCAGATCGTTCGCCAGAGGAGGTGCGCGAGGGAGATGCGAGGCGCCGCGGAACCGCAGCGGCAGGTCGCTCGCCGGACGATGTTCGGGAGGACAGCAGGAAAAACCATGCGCCAACGGGACGGTACAGCTCGCCTGAGCTGCGAGGACGTGGGAGGAGACGCGTGGCGATGGCCGCGCGGCGATCGCCAGAGGTGCGGAGGGAGCAGTATGAGCGAGGGAGACTGGCAGGTCAACGGGGGCCTGCTGTTTGGGGGAGAGAGAGACAGAGAGAGAGAGGTGAGGAGCAACGTGGGCGACGGGAGAGTAAGCCAGAGGAAGAACGGGGCAGACGAGCAGGTCCGGACGGGGAGCGAGGGGATTGTGAGGAAAGAGATGGGTGGTGCTCACCAGAGAGAGGAGGGGGGCGTGAGGAGGGACGCATCAGGGAAGGTGCACGACGATCGCTGGGCGCAACAAGGGCAAAAGAAAGGGGGAGAGGGAACCGACGGCGGCGGGAAGATGTGGAGCGAGAAAGGCGGTATCAGGAGCACTCGCATGATGGGAAGGAAAGGCGGTGGGACGGAGCAGAGAAGCAGAGAGAGCGAGGAAGGAGTCCGAGCACAAGGGGCCCGAGGGGGCGATGGCAATCAGGAGGAGGATCCGAAGGAGCCAGAGCGGCCAGAGAGGGGACAGAACGGGCACTGTATGGGGCAAGCTCGGGCAGCAGGGGAACAAGGAAAAGGGGTGAAGAGAAGCAGAGTAGGCGACGGGAAATGATGCTTGCGCATGAAACGGAGAGTGACGACGAAGGAGAGTGTGACGGACCTACGCGCCACAGGTCGGGCCGAAGGGAGGGGCGTTGGAAAGAACATTCCCCGGAGAAGAGGGAGAGACCAGGGTGGGGATCGGAGAGATATGGGGAGGCTCAAGAGAGAGAGGGGGGAAGGAGCATAGGTCCGACGTGGCGGAGAAGGCGGCAGCAGTCATGGGTAGGCGCTACGGGGGCAAGGGCAGCCAGGGAAGGAAGTGGTCGAGTGCTGTATGGGACAGAGTCAAGAAGCAGGGAGATGAGGGAGAGGAGGGGAGAGAGTAGGAGGAGGAATGAGAGCTCAGGGACTTGGGAGACAGGGAGGTGGAGTGCGCAGGCCCCACCTCAGGTGGAGGTGCCAGTGCGCTTTACGGGGGTAGCAGGGTCAGACACAAACCTGAAGAATTACCTGATGCAAATCGGTAATGTGAAGTACCGCTGCGACAGGAGTGGGATGGACCCGATAGAGTTTTTCTTGAGCCTACCGAACACGCTGGGAGGCGAAGCTGAGACGCTATATCGTATGAAGATGAAGGAATGGCTGAGGAGGGCAGAGGAGGAGGATGAGGACCCAACCACTCTGTTCCTAGAGCGGCTGCGGAAGCAGTTTCCAGGGCACACGGCGGAGAGGGTGAGAGAATTTCAGGAATTCCAGCGAGGGAGGGCCGAGTCACTGCTCACTTACTACGGTAGGTTGACGGATCTGGCGGAAGACGTGGTGTGCACAGATGGCAGCATGCTTATAAGCAAGTTCCTGGGGGGTCTGGATGAGGGATTGAGCGGCGGGCTGAGAATGAGAGTGTATGAGTTGGGAGCTGAAGCAACGCTGGAGGAGGTGTTTGAGTTGGCAGAGAGAGTGGAGCTGGCGCAGCGGCGGTATGAGGCGTACCTGCCGAGGGTGTTAGAGAAAGGGCGGCCCAGGTGGGCTGCAGCGATGATAACCGAGGACGGGGGTGGGGAGGAGCAGTGGCAGGAGAGGCGAGCAGAAACACGGACGTGCCACAGGTGCGGGCAGGAGGGGCATATCAGGAGGGAGTGCAAGAACTGTGATGTGTGCGGAAAGCCTGGGCACCGACGGAGGGACTGCCCAGATGCACCGAGCTGTGAGGTGTGTGGGAATCGGGCAAGAAACTGCTATGAGAAAGGAAGGGATGCAAGGAGATCACCCAAGGAGATCGAGGAACAGATCGAACAGTTACGAGCCCAACTGCAGGCACTGGGAGAAAGAACTCAGGGGCAAGCGGGGTTGTACGCGGAGGAGGAAGAGGGGCAGGAGCCAGAACACTCCGGTGCGGTGCTGCGTGGCCATGCAGACATGTGGCTGCGCAGTGGGGGCAGGGACATACGAAGGGAGCTAGTGAGTAAGGTGGGGGCATGGGCATGTATGTCAGTAACACCAGCAGCAGCGGGAGCAGAGGAGCAGGACGAGCAGGCGGGGGCAGGAGCGTGCGTACCAGCAGCAGCGGGAGCGGAGGAGCGGGATGAGCAGGTGGGGTCAGAAGCGTACGTACCAGCAGCAGCGGGAGCGGAGGAGCGGGATGAGCAGGTGGGGGCAGAAGCGTGCGTACCAGCAGCAGCAGGAGCAAAGGAGCGGGATGAGCAGGTGGGGGCAGAAGCGTGCGTACCAGCAGCAGCAGGAGCAAAGGAGCGGGATGAGCAGGTGGGGGCAGAAGCGTGCGTACCAGCAGCAGCAGGAGCGAAGGAGCGGGATGAGCAGGTGGGGGCAGAAGCGTGCGCACCAGCAGCAGCAGGAGCAAAGGAGCGGGATGAGCAGGTGGGGGCAGAAGCGTGCGCACCAGCAGCAGCAGGAGCAAAGGAGCGGGATGAGCAGGTGGGGGCAGAAGCGTGCGTACCAGCAGCAGCAGGAGCGAAGGAGCGGGATGAGCAGGTGGGGGCAGAAGCGTGCGTGCCAGCAGCAGCGGGAGCGGAGGAGCGGGACGAGAAGGTGGGAGCAGAAGCGTGTGCATTAGCAGCGGCGGAAGCGGGAGGGAAGAACGAGAAGGTGGGGGCATGGTCGGGTGTACCAGTGGCAGCAGAAGCGGAAGGGAGGGAAGGGAAGGTGGGGGCACAGGCGGGCATGACAGCAGTAGCGGAAGCGGAAAGCGGGGCAGTGAAGGTGGGGGCACAGGCGTGCATGACAGCAGTAGCGGAAGTGGAAAGCGGGGCAGTGAGGGTGGGGGCACAGGCGGGCATGACAGCAGTAGAGGAAGCGGAAAGCGGGGCAGTGAAGGTGGGGGCACAGGCGGGCATGACAGCAGTAGCGGAAGCGGAAAGCGGGGCAGTGAAGGTGGGGGCACAGGCGTGCATGACAGCAGTAGCAGAAGCGGAAAGCGGGGCAGTGAAGGTGGGGGCACAGGCGTGCAAACCAGAAGTAGCAGAAGCGGCAGGGAGGGAAGAGAAGGAGAGAGCACAGGCGTGCGCAGCAGCAGCAGCGGAAACGGAAGAGGAAAGGAAAGAAGAGAAGTTGGGGGGCACAGGCGTGTGCAGTAGCAGCAGCAGAAGAGGAAGGGAAAGAAGCGAGGTTGGGGGCACAGGCGTGTGCAGTAGCAGCAGCAGAAGAGGAAGGGAAAGACGAGAAGTTGGGGGGCACAGGCGTGTGTAGTAGCAGCAGCAGAAGAGGAAGGGAAGGAGAGAAGTTGGGGCACAGGCGTGTGCAGCGGCAGCAGCAGAAGCGGAAAGGAAGGAAGAGACGTTGGGGACACAGGCGTGTGCAGCAGCAGCAACAGAAAAGGAAGGGAAAGAAGAGAATTTGGAGACACAGGCGTGTGGAGCAGCGGCAGGAAGAGAAAGTAGGGGCACCTGAGTGTGTAGCAGCAGCAGCGGAGGCGGGAGTGGAGGATGAGGAGGGAGGATGGGCAGGGTGGACTGCAAAGGAAGGATCTAAGTGGACGGTGGGGGGGGGGCCAATGAGCGGGCAGGGGAGGGAGGTCACACTCGTGACACAGACAGTGGGAACAGGAGGGGTGGAGAATGGCGTGGCATTGGTAGAAACCAGGGCAAGGTACCTGAGGGAAGGACTGCCGGCAGCACGGGAGAACTTACAGACAGTGCAGCTGAGAGATGCACACAGGCCAGAGGAGCGGCTGCAGCAGGGCTGCACCAAGCACAAGGGCGGCAGAAGGAGTGAGACAGGAAGTCTACCCCTCGGGGGGACAGAAGGATACTCTGGAACAGGAAGTGATGCTGGGCACACAGAGAAGGAGGGCGACGAATCTGAGGGGGCGGGAGTGCTGTGTCAGAGAGTGGGCGAAGAGAGAAGACAGGGGACCACCAATACTGCAGTGGTGAGAAGTACCCCGGCCTCAGCAAGAGTGTCCAGTGCCTCGTGCACGGGAGACCCGAGCACGAGCTCTGGAGGGGGCATGTGGTGGCTGAGGCAGAGAAGGGAAGGTATCACGGGAACAGGGCAGAGGGAAGAAGGGAGGGAGGATGAGTGCCGGGAGGAGAGGACAGGCCATGGGAGGAAACAGAGGAGGGGGCAGTGGTACGAGTGAGGCATCTCCAAGAGGGTCCTGTGACACGAGCTCAAGCGGCTAGAGCACGAGCACAGGAGGGGGCAGCGGTTGAGTGAGGCTTTGCAACACGGAGAAGGGAGGAAGCAGAGAGACAGCAAGAGAAGAGCAGGTGCAGGAAGAAGAGCGGGAGCAGGGAGAAGAGTAGGTACGAGGAGCAGAGCATGGGCTGGGAGAAGGAAGGTTCTCCGACAGCTGTCACCGCATATGCACCTAATGCATATGCAATAACAGTAGGATGATGGTGTAAGGGGGGCTTGTAGTGGCTGTTATGGGAACATTAGCTAGTTATAAGAGTATTAGTTAGGAATCAGTTGTAGGTGTAGAACGTAGGAAAGTTACTGTTAGGGAGGGGTGTAGAAAGGGGGAAATTGGATGGGAGCGGTTGGGATTGCGAGGGAAAAGGCACCGAAGGGCGAAATAGGAAGCCAAGCAGTCCCAACCCCGAGCCGCACTTTTGGGAATGTGCAAGCTTGGGGTTGGGTAAGGGCAGTCACAGCCAACCCCTCGATGCTTTCGTGCTGTTATTCTCTCATATTAGTGGAAAGCTGTTACCTCTGATCTAGCATCCGGTGGCACGCCACTAGGGGAGGACCTACGGGGTGAGGGAGGAAACTCGTTCAGTTGTGGTGGCTGAGGCAGAGAAGGGAAGGTATCACGGGAACAGGGCAGAGGGAAGAAGGGAGGGAGGATGAGTGCCGGGAGGAGAGGACAGGCCATGGGAGGAAACAGAGGAGGGGGCAGTGGTACGAGTGAGGCATCTCCAAGAGGGTCCTGTGACACGAGCTCAAGCGGCTAGAGCACGAGCACAGGAGGGGGCAGCGGTTGAGTGAGGCTTTGCAACACGGAGAAGGGAGGAAGCAGAGAGACAGCAGGAGAAGAGCAGGTGCAGGAAGAAGAGCGGGAGCAGGGAGAAGAGTAGGTACGAGGAGCAGAGCATGGGCTGGGAGAAGGAAGGTTCTCCGACAGGGCCGAGTCTCTCGCTTTCGTTAGAAGCAACGGGGATAGGTTTAGTTGCCCCGTTATCAGCGAACTTGTAATAGACCTCGGCATTAACGTCGTTGTGAGGATCCTCCTTGTCAACCTCGATCGGAACTGAACAGTATGGGGCGGCACCGGCAGCTGCTGACGCACGCGAGACAGTTTCCACCGCGCCAGCTTCGTCTGCTTCTGTAGCGAAGGTACGTGTACCTGAAATCCAGCTGTCAAATCTTCGTGGTTGGCATGCTGCCTCTGCCAAGTGGGGTATGTGAATCGTTCGTAGAAAAGGACGTCACGTGCCGGTACTGTAACCTGATCCTCCACATCCCAGATTTTCCATGCTGCGAACTCATTTTCGATGCCAAAACGAATTCCCCAACGTGCCCTCTGTGAAAATCTTCCCGCAGGTGTGTTCGGAGGCCGATAATGTACCATGCACCTGAAGACGCGCAACATTTTTGTACTGCCCAGCTTCCCTGTCAACTCCTTGTAGGAATCGTTTGGCAGGGACGAGGAAGACAGAAGGTTGTGGAGAAAAACAGCGTGGTCCATCGCAAACGGCCACTGCCCTGTTGGCAAGCGTGCTTTTATGAGCAGCTTGCACATAGTGTTCTGGAGGGTCGTTCATCCGTTCTGCCACGCCTTGCTGTTGATGCTGGTAAGGAAGCGATTGCAACTTCTTGATTCCCCTTTCCGCAAGATAGGTCCTGAAACGCTGTGAGAGGTACCGAGGCCTCCGTCAGTCTGGAAACTTTTCAGCTTCAAGTCACTCTCCCGTTCTGCTGCAGGTAGCCATGCCACGAATGCTTCGTAAGCAAGATCGCGTGATAGAATAAGCGCGTGCCAGACATAACGTGTTGCAACATCGATGAAGGTAATGACGTAGTTTAACACTGCTCGCCCTTCCTGTCGTGGAATAACCAAGATGTCGCTATATTTTTTTTCCAGTGGCTTGTATGCAGGAACACCCGGGTTATGATGAGAAGGAAATGGTTGTCGAGGCAGATCTGCTTCAGGACACAGTGTGCAGATGTGTCGAGGCCTTCGCAATTCCTTTCCATCGAGACGAAGAAGAGCATCTTTGTCAAGTACCTTTGCGCGAATTGTGTCGTAAGTAATGTTTCCACTCGGATGTCCTAACCGTTTGTGCCAAATTTCTTCTGAAGCTGCATGTCCCGCAGATCGATGATACAAGTCGGAGTTGGCATAGAAGGCGGCGAAGTTGGCCGGACTCGTATGTGATGCATCGTTAATCATGCTGCGACGAGAAGCCGATATGTCAATGACAAGCGTTCCTATTGAGTGAGATGAAGTCGAAGGTTATGATGACTAATGTATCTGTTTTGCTTCCCCGTGCTGTTCTGCTTCGCCGCGCTGTTCTGCTTCGCCGCTGATGCTCATTGACTCTGCTGCTGCTCGTGAAGTTTCAGGTGTACGTGCTTCGGATGCGATTGGAGTGACGTTTTCACGATAAAACCCAAGATGATCTGGTTCAGTGTTGAGCTCCTTCGGATGACAGTCTGTCCAAGAACCAAGACATCCAGCGAAGCTCTTGGGCGCAGCATACACCTCTGCCTCACAGCTGGAACTAGAGAAGGACGACGCCCGAGTCGACCTCCACGAAACAGCTCCGGTCCCATGGCTGAAGCAGTAACCCCTGTGTACACCGCAACGACTCTGCGTCGTCAGCCTACGACGAGTCTGAGAAACCTGTAAGTGTAATTGGCTGCTTCCCTCCAAGGACAAGTCCCATGCTTGATGTACTCGCCACATACTTCGCAACTCTCTTAGCAGCGTACCAGTGGGAAGGTCGGTGTCTCTCAGGCGCAACAAAGCGCGCAAGGACGCTAAGAGGGTAAGCTAGGTCAGGGCGAGTACAGGTGATCAGGTACATGAGACAACCCACCAGCTCAGGATATGGACCACTGGACTCAAATGGCTCGTCCGAAGGTGGAGCCGTGAGCCAATGATCCACAGCAAGAGGAGTGGGCTGTACCTTGGAGAACGGGAAGCGAAACCGCGTGAGGATCTGCTCGACCATATGCGACTGCGTCAGCGTAATAGTGCAAGCTGCCCTATCCCTGGTGATCTGCAGGCCAAGGTAGCGCTGCAGCTCACCAAGGTCAGTGCAAGTGTGTCTCCTCTGCAGTTCCTCCTTCACGGAGCCAGAGCGCGTCGGTCGGGAGTGGCAAAGACCAGGTCGTCAACGTAGACCAGAACAAAGAACGGGGTCGAGCCACGGCGGACGAACAGCGACGGGTCGGCAGACGACGGAAAGAAGTCAAGCGCTTCAAGAGTCGTACGTAGCGTGTCGTGCCACCTGCGGGGATCCCGGCGCAGGCCGTAGACCAATCGACGCAGCAGCCACTGGGTCCCAGGAGGGAAAGAGCCAGTGAAGCCAGGTGGGCGACGCAGCCAGATCTGCTCGTGCAGGCTTCACTGTAGGAACGCGGTGGAGAAGTCTAAGGAGTGAAACTCGTAGCAGCGCTGAGCTGCAATATGTAGCAACACCTGAAGAGTGGTCATCTTCGGGGTGGGAGCAAAAGTCTGGAAGAATTCTACCCCCTCTCGCTGACTGAAGCCTCTCGCCATGTAGCGCGCCTTGAACACCGATGGTGCTCCAAGCGGCCACTTCACCTTGTAGAGCCAAATGCCACTGACAACGTTCGCCGCAGGTGGCGTCGACGTAGGTGCCTGTAGACCTATAAGATGCCATCTCTGCCTCCTCAGCTGCTACCCAGTACAAAGCCCAGGGTCCCGAGACCGCCTCGGTGTGAGTGCAAGGGATCGGGATGTCAAGGGCGTCTAGATCCCCCTCAGGGACAAGCAGCATGGCGCAGAGACGAGGAACAGCGGCCGTAAGGAAAGAAAGCTCGAACTGCCTGTCCTCGAGGACCTCCAGGGGAAAGACAGGAGCACCCCCAGAGGACGGAGAACGAGCAGGGCCACTCACCAGGTGAGCGGCGTTGTCAAGGTGGTGGGAAGAGGCAAAGCGAGCAACAGTGGTAACAAGAGCCGAGACAGACAACGGGGGGGGGGGGGGGGCAGTCGGGTGAGTGACCAACGCGGACAAAACACGGGAGACGACAGGACGGGAGGCACGGAGGTA